GTGTCAAAATAGGCCATGCCTGGGGAGCACCCGCCCCAGGACAGCTCCCTATTGCCATATGGGGCCTCTTTGAACCCCCATCCCCCACGTGCAAGAGAAGAGACTAAGCGCCCCCTCTCGGGCACGCTGATTTTCATAAAGACAGACCATGCTTGGTCTCACCCACGGGCAGAAGCTCGCCCAGTGGTGTGCGGGTCCCGGCGCATCCCAGCTCCCAAGAGCTGACTGTGCACACTTTTTCCCGACTCCACTTTCAGCACTGTCATGTTGATACCTTGAAATCAGCCCTGGTGAGAGTGTTTACACCAGAGAAATCAGTAAATGCCACAAACCAGGGCTTTGTTTTTTCCCTAAACATAAACGTAAACATGCCACAGCTTCTACCCAGAACTGGTTCTCTAGGCAAGGACGAAATGTAGGTAAACTTTGAGTTCAGGCCTCTCGTCCTCCCATGCTGAAACTGTTCCTGAAATCTCCCCACCATCCTTACTCCAAAGACATCCAAGAATTTTCAAGAGTCTTTGCAAATACACACACATACACACACGTGTGCACACATGCACACAGGATCCTATTAAGTCTATTTCTCTGGCTCTTCATTTAGACTAAGGTGTAAGGAACTTATAATGACTCAAAGTGTGACCTGATCAGGAAAATTTGCATGTTGATAAGACTCACATATTTGAATAAAAGGAGTGAGCTTCAAAAAGAATGAGAGACATCAGCCAATGAGTAAGGTGGATTCGGGAAAGGAAGAAGCCCTGAGACCTTCCCAATATCCCCAAAATTAAATCACATGAGAAATCATCCTCTCTGCCAAGCATTTAAGTCAGTGCTGCTTGTCCCTGACATGAGTCAGATCACTTTCTGTTCCTTCTGTGATTCAGGATGCTTCTCTGCAACCCACACTGTCAGTCGCCTCAAACCTCACGGTCCTCGTGCCTTCCCAACAAGCTACTGAGGACATGGACCAAGACGAGAAAACCTTTTGGTTGTCACAGAGCAATATTCCAGCCCTGATAAAGTAGGTATTATTTATTTTCTTCTTCACGATGTCTGAATGGCATCCATGTGAACATATCTTAGAAATTCAATGTAGGGAAACCACATAGTCCTTCAAATTCATAGAACTGAGCATATTCTAGGATTCCCCTCACCTCCCTCCCCAGGGGAGCAATAGTTAGCAATTACAGACAGCTAAGCACTGTTCTACTGCTTTACGTATGACTCAGTTAATCCTCCCAACAACTCTATGAGATAGCTATTACAATTATTCCCATTTTACAGATGTGGAAACAGAGGCACAAAGTGGTTAACTAACTCACTCAAGCAAGGGGAACTTGAATTTTGAATATAGCAGTCTGGCTCCAGACCCTATTCTCTTAACTACTCAATTATACTGCCTCATGTGTTGATATTTACTTATAGCCCTTTTGGACTGTTATTTTAGGTACCATACACTACTAGGCACATACAGAGTGGCAGATCTGCAGACCCTATCATCTTCTGACATGCTGGCGACATCTTTGCAAGGCAACTTCCTTCACCTGGCAAAGGTGGACGGGGTAAGAGAGCTCTGTATTTGTCTGTTTGGTTGAAACATGGTACCCTATAGTGTACTTCTTAAAATTTTGTGTATGGAAATTTCCAAACATGTGCAAAAATAGAAAGAATAAAACCCCCATGCGGGCATCACCCAGCTGCAATCACTGTCAACACATATGGATACATACAGACACACGTGCTCACATTACTTTACAGCAGTGGTCTCTCTGCCCACGGATTGGCCACCAGCTCCTCTTGTCAGATCACAGATTGGTCCAGAAGGGATAAAGGATGTGCAATTCCACAACTTTGCTTTTGGTAGTTAATTAAGAGCTGGTTATTCATAACCTACTAATTGAGTCTTTACAGGCAACTAAAATTTTATGTTAAGTGAGGGTTGATCAACAAATATTT